GGAGTAGGTCAGTAGTTTGTACTGCATTCTATTCAGGAGTCCAGGTCTTCATTCAGTAGCCATGGAGACTGGAGAGAGATGACTAAATCTGCTGAAGAAGAAAAATCAGTCATAGTGGGCAGGCGGTTGGGTTTTTGTTAAGTGACCCATTGTGAAATGCTCCATCAAGCCTGATAGTGCCTAAGTGCTGACATAGATGGGTAGAGGTACATTGTTACACAAAAATCATTGGCCATCTGTTTAGGGAACATTTGCTCACAGAACAAAAATTGCTTTACTTTAGTCAAGACTTTTCGCAGAACAAATCTTCCGAGTTCAAGAAAACTTAGAAACGGGCCACTTTTCTGACACTGTTACCCACTCAGCTGAGCAGTGAGCACCCTTTCGACCGGTCCGGGGCCCAGCTGTCGCCACATGACCGAAGGCTACTGTTAGGGTGCTGTCCTGTCCTGCTGTTCTTTTGCTGTCCTCCATCAGTCGGCTCCGAACCACCAGCATCGCTGCCGCGCCGGGGTCCGGAGAAGAAGCTGCGCTAAGACGATCTGGAACCATCAGCCGGGCTGTGAGTCCCCACCGCCATGCGGTTGCTGGGACCGGGGCGGTGCAACCACACTCGCGTCCTGACTGCGCTTATGTGCTTCTCTCCTCGGAGCAGAGTCCGGCAGCGCAACCTGACTGACCTGAGCACGCCCCGCGCGAGAAGGCGTCTGGCGTGGCGCGCCGGTCTCGACCATCTGTCACACCGCCTCGGGATTCATGATCCAGATCCGATCGAATCGTCAGATTAAAATGTCTCTTGTATGGTAAACACCGATAAAAAAACCCCCTTCTTGAGTCGCAGAAGGCCAGGGAGGCTGACAGTCTACGGAGGTCGACGACTGAGAAACGCTCCAGCAGCCGGAGTTGGTCAGCTGCACAGCCAGGGGCGGATCCAGGAAAACTCCAAGGGGAGGGTCATGAATCGAAGTGGTGCCCCTACCTATACCCAAAATTAAAAACTCAACGGATTTCGTCCACTTCATTTTGGTGGTGCCCCCATTTTCAGTTTTTTTTCTTTTTATTTTTTATTTTTAGTCAGTATCTTAACTCTTAGCCACAACCACATTTACCAATTGTAAGCAAGTATATATGAATGTGCTATGTGTATACATATATGTTGTGGACGCTGAGTAGTGAGTACTTACCAGGAACGTTATCAGGTAAGCAAATCGTTGTCAGTCCGACGAACTTGACCCTGGCGTCTAAAGGGTCTGTCCTTGACACTTCAGGCTTGTCAGGGGCACCAAAGTCCTTCCAGGGACACCACAAACCTGTCAGGGGCACCTACGGCCTTGTAGGGGCGCCACAGGCCCGCCAGGGGCACCACAGGTCTAGCAAGTATACACGACAGGCCTGTCAGGGGCACAACGGGCCTGTTGGGCCCATGAGCACCCCTAGGGGCAGGGGCACCACAGTCCTTCCAGGGGCACCGCAGGCCTGTGAGGGGCACCAGCGGCCTAGCAGGGGCACCAGTCAACACAGGTCTGCCAGGGGCGCCACAGACCTGCCAGGGGCACCACAGACCTGCCAGGAGCACCAGAGGTCTGCCAGGGGCACCACCGGCCTCGCAGGGGCACCTTGGGCCTGTCAGGGGCACCACGGGCCTGCCGAGGGGCACTTCAGACTTTTCAGGGGCACCAGTCCTCTCCGGGCGCAGGGGTACCAGCGGCCTAGCAAGGGCACCAGAGGCCTGCCAGGGGCACCAGCGGCCTAGGAAGGGCACCAGAGGCCTGCCAGGGGCACCACAGGCCTAACAAGGGCACCACGGGCCTGTCAGGGGCACCTCAGGCTTGTCAGGGCCCAGGGACACCACAGTCCTTCCAAGGTCACCGCAACCCTGTCAGGGGCACCAGAGGCCTGCCAGGGGCACCACAGGCCTAGCAAGGGCACCACTGGCCTGTCAGGGGCACCTCAGGCTTGTCAGGGCCCAGGGGCACCACAGTCCTTCCAGGGGCATTACAAGCCTGTCAGGGGCACCAGAGGCCTAGCAAGGGCACCACAGGCCTGCCATGGACACCACAGGCCTGCCAGGGGCACCACCGGCCTTGCAGGGGCGCCTCAGGCCTGTCAGGGGCACCACGTGCCTGCCGGGGACACTTCAGGCTTGTCAGGGGCGTTACAGTCCTGTCAGGGCCCAGGGGCACCAGGCCCGTGGTGTCCCTGCTAGGCCTGTGGTGCCCCTGGCGGTCCTGTGGTGCCCCTGTCAGGACTGTGCCCTGATCAGGACGGACTCTGATAGGCCGGTGGTGCCCCTGGCAGGTCTTTGGGCCCCCGGGCCTCAAGGGGGGGGCCATGACCCATGTGACCCCCCCCTTGGATCCGCCCCTGTGCACAGCTCAGCAACACTCTCCGCCAGCGAGACTGAAAACAAAAACCTTCCATGAAATGCAAATTAAGGATGGCTGAAGGATGCATAATACCCAGTAAAACGAATAACTATTCAGTAAACAAAAAATGTCACTTCCTTGCTTGGAAAATTGTATTTTAGTCACTAAATGCCATGGCAAAGGAGCTGCCAAAATCGATGAATGTCAGCAACTCGCCAAACAACCTGTGTAAAACAGTTTGTTATTGTATGTGACTCGGTAGACACAACCTTTTGACCTTAGCCTGCACTAAATATGATAGCAAATTAGCCATGCTCCATTGTCATTTTCCCCTTTGAATTAGGTAATTGTTTTTGGGAGCTGCCACAACTGCACAGATAGGCACATTAACATTGCTCACACACACACAGATTCACTTACTTGTGAGTTGCTGGGTGATGTGTCGTGCCTTGGTCACCAGTCACAGAATAACTGAAGCCTCCTGGAAAAGCGCTGTAGCTGTTGGCGACTGGCGTCACCACAGCTGGTCGGTGGGACACTGTAAACAAGATGTGACTTTAAACGCTGCTCCAGGTACTTTGGTCATGATCTGTCATAACATAGTTAACATTTCTTCTAATCAAACTAGGGCCTAGGGGAGTTGGAGTGATACTCCTCCATCATACCAATGCGCTAACAAGGATTGAAGAAAACACATGAGCCCTAAAACCAATAAAAAAACGAACACAAAACATACCTACTCATTCATAATTATTATTTTTCAATTTGAAAGGAATCCTGTTCACCTAAAAATATTCAGCAAACCACTCACCAATTGCCTGACACCATAGTGCACACAGAAGTTTGAGGCCTAGCTGTGTAGGCTGTGCAATATTATATGTGTAGATCAAGATGAAGTACAGTGAGACGTGAGTCAGTAGGTTTTAAGTTGTAGGTTGGTAGATTGTAGGCTTTAAATTGTAGGTTTTCGGTTAGTAGGTTGTAAGTTTGTAGATTGTAGGTTGGCAGGTTGAAAGTTTTTGGTTAGTAGGTAAGGTTAGGTCAGGTTAGATTTTTTATCTTCACTGTACTTCATCTTCACATTTACCGGCTGTGCGGACTGCAGGCCTGTTGGACCGGATCTTTGTAATGCAAAGCACTCGCTCATTCTAAAAGTACTGGTTGTCAAAGACAGAAGAGAAGCGGATGGCTCCCCCGTGGATGTCCAGATACTTATCAATTATGGCAGCTTACATGAGTTACAGAAGCAATTGCAGCTTCCTTTGTCCGTCTAGGCTATAGACAATTGACCACACTTAAAACAAACAAACATGCAATTTTGTTAGGTATTGGAATACATACCAATATTTCTACATTTACAAAAGTATATGATAATTCTTATTAACTACTTGCTGGTAATAATCAGAAAAAAAAACTCAGAAATGCCAGACAGAAAAGTATCAAATAACAACTAACAATTGATGTCAATTGAAATACACAAATTTGCAAGCAGAAGATTGTAACACGCGCGCAATAAATGTAAAAAATAGCTAAATTTCTGCTTCAATTCCTTAAACCACTGTCATAAATCGTAATTCCCAACTAATTCACTGCTACGCTAGAACTCAAAGACTACAAGTTTTTAGGTATTGTAGAAAATGTCTTATTAAACCATTTGAGACCAAAAACGTTCCACTTCATCCCGTTTTAGTTGAGAAAACAGCAAAGAAAGTGGACGACCTTTGACGTCATTTACCTTCTGATTGGCCCAAAAAGCCTTCCCTATGGCGCAACATAGAAACGATGACCCCCTGCACCTGCTAATACGAATCGGCGGTCCGAACAAAATCCGCTGAGAAAGAGGCTTAGAAGCGAATAGGACCAAGATACGTATTACAGGAACTATTTCTTCGCAAAAAGAAACATTAAAATGCAAAATAATAGGTATTTTTCTCATTTTCTTCTTTTGGAATAATATTTAAAAAATATGTCGGTATTTTGCTAAGTTTTCAACAATAAATATAGTGAAAACCAAATAGTAAATATCCACATAATTTCAGTTGAAACATTTTTCTGACAGCACTACAGACGAATCAAGAGAGGCAATTGCCCAATGAGTCAAAGCAAGACAACTTTATGTTCAACTTTTTTGTTAAGTTAATTGAGAATGTTTTGAGCAGATTAAATGCAAAAAAGACATAAGATAATAAATTTTTAATTTAGTCACCTCTATTGCTACGGAAGTGCGCCACATTTGTATGCTATTCCGTTTGTAATGCGCATCGGGCCGAGAGCCAAACTAGATCCGTTTGACGTCACTGATACGAATTTGCTCATGTAGTCGGTGCACTGAATGCGTTCTTGGGGAGCTGATGCGAATTAGCGTAGTGCGTATTTGGAACGGATCGCTCATGTAACCGAAACGTCCGAGGCACACGATTCGGGCCGTATTTCACAAGAACTATTCTTTGCTGACTGGAAGCGTCAAAAATGCAAAATACTTAACATTTTTTTTATTGGCTGCCTCGTAGAAAATAGCAAAAAAATGTTGGTATTTTGGTTTAGTCTTTGCATGTGAAATAAAATGAATGAAATATTTTGATAGATAATTTTTTCTGACCACCCTGCTGTCGCTGCATGGCGAATCAGTGCCCACTGACTTAAAACAAGAAAACTTTGTTTTCATTTTTTGATTTCATGTTAATTCTAAATGTTTTTGAGCCTATCAAATGATATAAGTATTTAAAATTTAGCTCAGTCAAACTCACCTGTTAAACTCACCTGTTAGGTTTCCACAACCTCGGCTCGTAAAGGAAGGAGTGGAAACCTATTGCGTGCAGAGACGCGCCAATTCCTTGGGTGGGCAGATGGCTGGACCTCAGGCAAGGAATTGGAATGGTGCGTCTGCATTTGGTAAAACACTGAAAAAAGAAAACTGGTGCGTGTTTTAAGTGCCAGAATCCTAGACAAGATGATCAATTATGTAAATGAGAAAAGAGGGTACCGAAATGTGATACGTTCTCGGAAGGAAAGGTCAGGATAGGTAACCTAGGTTAGTCCACCCGGTCCAGCTCGAGAAGGGCGGGCAGCAGCTACCTAGGGGGTAAGGGCGGAATATGATAGGTAGCCCAGGCGCGTATAACCCCGCCCCAACTTGGGAAGGGTGGGGCGCTTACCTGGGGGGGGGGGGATGAAGGATGAGATGTGGATCGTTTGCCTTCTCTTATCCTGTGTGTTCGTACAATCTACTGCCCAGTGCGGCTTTCAGTCCCTTTTTAAACTGCACCAGGGACTCCTCGTTCACCAGCCAATCTGGGAGGGCATTCCAATCGCGCACGACTCTGTGGGTGAAAAACCGTGACCTTGCATCTATAAGACTCTGACACGTTTTTATCTTTCTACTATGCCCGCGCGTTCTGTTGTCGGCCTCCAGATCCCAGAGGATCTCCGGGGATATCTTACTGTGGCCGTGAAAAATCTTCCAGCATTTGATAATATCGGCTCGAAGGAGGCGTCCCTTCACAGAGAATAGGTCAAGTTCCTTTAGGCGATCACCATATTCCATATTGCGGAGCCCAATCACATTGCGAGTCCAGAGCCTTTGAACAGACTCTAATCTTTTGAGATCCTGTACATAGCCACTGTTCCAGATCGGTGACGCGTACTCGAGAATGGGGCGAATGTGAGATTTCAGTATATGAGTCATAAAGTCAGGCGAGCGACACCTGGTCGATTTCAAGAAATTGTGAGCAACTCCTCCAGCCTTCGCTGCTATGCTGGCACAGTGTTCATGGAATTTCATCTCGTTGTCGATGATAACACCCAGGTCACTACATGACGTAACGCAGGGAATTGTGTCACCAGCCAGTGTGTATGCACGGGGCTCGAAGTCATGGAATCGTCGCCTAAATCGTATGACGGCGCACTTCCTGAGGTTCATGCTGAGACCCCAAGACTCTGCCGTAGAGTGGAGCAAGTCTATATCCTTTTGTAGCGCCTCTTCACTGGTGTTGTGTTTATCGTTGTCTAGTTTGATAAATACTTTAAGATCGTCAGCAAAGATCTTATAACTGCACGACAAACTGGACGCAACGTGGTTGATGTAAACCAGAAAAAGAATGGGTCCTAAAACCGATCCCTGAGGAACGCCACTCCGAACCTCCGCAGCTGAACTCGTGGTGCCCTTAACAAGAACCTGCATCGTACGCCCCACCAAGAAATCTGTCAGCCATGTGATAAGTCGCCCTTGGACACCGACTAACCTGAGTTTTTCTAGAAGAATGGTATGGCGCACCACATCAAAAGCCTTTGAAAAGTCGAACAGAACTCAGGGGCGGATCCAGGATAACTCCAAGGGGAGGGTCATGAATCGAAGTGGTGCCCCTACCTATACCCAAAATTAAAAACTCAACGGATTTCGTCCACTTCATTTTGGTGGTGCCCCCATTTTCAGTTTTTATTTTTATTTTTATTTTTAGTCAGTATCTTAACTCTTAGCCACAACCTCATTTACCAATTGTAAGCAAGTATATATGAATGTGCTATGTGTATATATATGTTGTGGACGCTGAGTAGTGAGTACTTACCAGGAACCTTATCAGGTAAGCAAATCGTTGTCAGTCCGACGAACTTGACCCTGGCGTCTAAAGGGTCTGTCCTTGACACTTCAGGCTTGTCAGGGGCACGAAAGTCCTTCCAGGGACACCACAAACCTGTCAGGGGCACCTACGGCCTTGTAGGGGCGCTACAGGCCCGCCAGGGGCACCACAGGCCTGCCAGGAAGCAGGGGCACCACAGGTCTAGCAAGTATACACGACAGGCCTGTCAGGGGCACAACGGGCCTGTTGGGCCCATGAGCACCCCTAGGGGCAGGGGCACCACAGTCCTTCCAGGGGCACCGCGGGCCTGTGAGGGGCACCAGCGGCCTAGCAGGGGCACCAGTCAACACAGGCCTGCCAGGGGCACCACAGACCTGCCAGGGGCACCAGAGGCCTGCCAGGAGCAGCACCGACCTCGCAGGGGTAACTTGGGCCTGTCAGGGCCCAGGGGCACCACGGGCCTGTCGAGAGGCACTTCAGGCTTTTCAGGGGCACCATAGTCCTCTCCGGGCGCAGGGGTAGCAGGGGCACCAGAGGCCTGCCAGGGGCACTACAGGCCTAGCAAGGGCACCACTGGTCTATCAGGGGCACCACGAGCCTGTCATAGCCAGGCATCTCAGGCATCTCTTGTCAAGGCCCAGGGGCACCACAGGTCTGTGAGGGGCACCAGCGACCTAGCAGGGGCACCAGTCAACACAGGTCTGCCAGGGGCGGCACAGACCTGCCAGGGGCACCACAGACCTGCCAGGGGCACCAGAGGTCTGCCAGGGGCACCACCGGCCTCGCAGGGGCACCTTGGGCCTGTCAGGGGCACCACGGGCCTGCCGAGGGGCACTTCAGACTTTTCAGGGGCACCAGTCCTCTCCGGGCGCAGGGGTACCAGCGGCCTAGCAAGGGCACCAGAGGCCTGCCAGGGGCACCAGCGGCCTAGCAAGGGCACCAGAGGCCTGCCAGGGGCACCACAGGCCTAACAAGGGCACCACGGGCCTGTCAGGGGCACCTCAGGATTGTCAGGGCCCAGGGACACCACAGTCCTTCCAAGGGCACCGCAAGCCTGTCAGGGGCACCAGAGGCCTGCCAGGGGCACCACAGGCCTAGCAAGGCACCACTGGCCTGTCAGGGGCACCTCAGGCTTGTCAGGGCCCAGGGGCACCACAGTCCTTCCAGGGGCATTACAAGCCTGTCAGGGGCACCAGAGGCCTAGCAAGGGCACCACAGGCCTGCCATGGACACCACAGGCCTGCCAGGGGCACCACCGGCCTTGCAGGGGCGCCTCAGGCCTGTCAGGGGCACCACGTGCCTGCCGGGGACACTTCAGGCTTGTCAGGGGCGTTACAGTCCTGTCAGGGCCCAGGGGCACCAGGCCCGTGGTGTCCCTGCTAGGCCTGTGGTGCCCCTGGCGGTCCTGTGGTGCCCCTGTCAGGACTGTGATACCCCTGATAGGCCGGTGGTGCCCCTGGCAGGTCTTTGGGCCCCCGGGCCTCAAGGGGGGGGGGCCATGACCCATGTGACCCCCCCCCCTTGGATCCGCCCCTGACAGAACTAGATCAACGGGATGACCCAGATCTAAGGCTACAGTTACCTCATCGTAGGTCATAGTCGTCCCGGTAAATGCCGCAACTGCGCCATGACTGTACGCTAATCCTATTCCGTTTGTGATGCGAATTACCGGCCGTCGAGGAGTCAGCCCGGGTGAGCCAAACAAGATCCGTTTGACGTAGATAAAACGAATTAGTCTCATGTAACCGGTGCCGTAGATCCGTTTGTGGGGAGCTGATGCGCATTAGCGTAGTGCGTATTTGGAACGGATCGCTCATGTAACCCCGGTAATAGAGTTCAGTGCAAGTTCAGTGGTTGAAGTTAAACCTCTCTGAGGGTAGCGTTGTTTTCTATGTCTTTTTAAACATATTTTAAGTTCAACCTAGAGGTTTGATTATTAGATCAACCCTCAGGGTCTTGAATTTGCTTGTTATGAAGCCTGAAGTTCAAGGTAGGTACCTACGTTTTCGGCTACCTACTAAGTACTACCAGTCGTTTATTGTTTTCCTCGATGCGAAGGTCGAACATTCGAAACGAAAACAATAAACGGCTAGTAGCCGAAAAACGTACCTACCTTGAATTTAGATGTCTAGTCGCAAAAGCTTGAAATCATATAAGCCTGAAGTTCCAACTTCAGGTGTTAAGTGTATTCCGAAGGTGAAGGCCTTGGCCTGGCCAAGAAACAGGTCACAGGCCTTTAAAAATAGGCATCAGTATAGCCCATGATTTGGATTGCGATTCTTCGCCCTAACCCAAAACAATAACAACAATTGCGATTCTTATTAAGAAATTATTTTATCCTGAAGTCCCACAGTAAGGTTGTCTGGGTCATAATATGCAGCAGTACCTGTTACCTAACCATTTTTGAAGCTGATCCAGGGCCCTGTTTCACTGGGTCTGGTGATAGCACTAGCAGCACGCTACTATCAAATTGCGCGAGCTGACGTAACGTGATGAGGTCACTAATGACGTTTCGTGTGATCCGTGAGCTGCGTTTCGAACAGAGTTGCTGTCTTGTTGAATTGTGTTTGATGATACATTTGTTTGATCGCACGGCCGTCGTGAAGATGTTAGCAGCAATATTTGATGACATCACACAGATTGACGGTGTCATGGCTTGTTGATGTTTCCATGGAAACCCTATTTGACACGTGTAATAGCAGCGTGCTGCTATCACCGATGAAACAGGGCCCAGGAAAAAATTGTTAGTCTTCGCCTGTGATGGTAGGGTGTAGGCAATGCAGAAGGCCATGTGAGGCACCCCAGCATGTGTTCATGTAATGCTTCATGTGTTCAGCATGTGTTCATCTCCTCACAAAACAGCCTGGTGTCCATTGGCATCAGCCCGACCAACTGCCAGGGCGGAACACGGCAGTGGCGTCTCCAGTGACCCTGCTTGGCCCAAGATTACTGTACTAATAGCTTGGCCCACACTGCATCAAGATCCCTTTACTACAGGTTGGTTCAGGGAAATGGTCATGTCCAGCCTGAACCATTTGGCTTAAAGGAAAAGTGCCACCTTCGTGAAATATGAAGATATCGTTGCTTTTCATTTTGACATTATTATTTTTCATGTTCTTTTTAAATCTGGTGCCAGAAGTGCATAATTCGCAAAAAAAGTATGTCAAACTATTTAACATATTGGTACTATGTTTGTACCCTCTACCGCACCTTCTGTATGATGTCATAGCGATGACATCACACTCAAGCCAATCAGCCTTCAGAAGACAGACTCGTCGGCTTGTGTCAGATTAGCTGATTGGTTAAAGCTGAGCTGATTGGAGCCGATTGGTTAAAAACCAAAGCCTCGCCGCGGGTGGCTGTATTACAGGATAAGAACGCATTCCTGGGATAAGGACGCATTCCTGGCATATTTTCTTTTAAAATTGCCGATACATACGAATGGAGGCCGAAGTCGGCCGTAAGGTGGGACACTCTCGGGGTTTTCGGACACGGGCTACAAGATGGCCATCTCAGTTTCAAACCCCATGTTAAAGGTGACCCTTTTCCTTTAAGTGAGCTTGACTTGGTGGACCATTCGGTACCTTGAGGGGTGAATGAGGCAGTTGTGAGAGGGGTACCCCACTTCCCAGACCACTGTGGGTTCAAACTGCAAATGTTGGCAATGCTTCAATTTTGATAACCCATAGCTAAAAGATGGCTGAACTGATTGTTCCCAAAGCTTCTACATCATTAGAATTGCATCATTATATAGTTTGTAATTTTAGGGTCATGAGCTGTAGCCAATGGGTGTCCCATACAGGTAGTAAGTCAATCACAAGTCATTTCACAAAATTACTGATTCTTTTCACCTCAATAAATTAGTGCCTTGTATTATCATTTCCAAAATGCATCAGTTAAGCAACCATGTTAGTGATGGTTTTAGCAGGATATCTATGGCCATCAAATGCTATTATTTGTCGAAGTAGATGCCAGGTGGCAATAATTGAATACACATAACACTTGTTAACATTTTCATCCCTATATGCAATTTAGCACAAACAAAATCTTACATTCCATCCAATCATTGACATTATTTATGAACGAATCACTGGCAGTACTTATTCCTTTGTGATCAGGAATCAATGATCCATGATCACACAGCCTGTTTTATGTCTAGACGACATAACATTATCATTATTCTGAAACAGCCTGGGACCGTACACAGTACAGTTATTTGCATCACTCCTCAGAGTGTTACATCATTCGGTGCTCTGTAACTCTTTTCTCACTCTCCGTCTTCTAAACTCCTCCTTTGCTGTAGTCGGCGCCGGTCGCCGGGCCATCCTCCTCCTTCGAGGCGTCCCTGTCAAACAGCGTCTCTATGGCGGCCAGTGAGAGCCCCTTGGTCTCGGGTACCGCCAGCAGGGTGAACAGGCACGCGCCGGCCATCAGCACTCCGTGTGTGAAGAACACGCCGCTCGCTCCCAATGCCGCCATTGTGTGTGGGAACGCCAGCGTGGCCAGCATGCTGAACGTGCAGTAGCTGAAGGTGACCAGCGAGCCGCCTAGCTGGCGCATGCGCAGAGGGAAGATCTCACCAGCGAGGCAGAACGGCAGACAGGCGAGTGCTGACGAGTAGACGAAGCCGGCGGCTAGCAGCAGTACGATGGGCAGCGCGGTGAGGTGGTGCAGCGCCGGCAGCTGGTAGTAGGCCACCAGGCCCATGTAGCAAACGGAGACGCCGCCGCAGCTGAATACCAGCAGCACGCGGCGGCCCAGACGGTCCACCAGGGTAGACGTCAGCAGGACAGCCAGCACGCGGATCGCGCAGAACAGAATCGAGCACACGGCCGCGTCCAGCTGGAAGCCAGCCATGCGGAAGAACTCGAGCGAGTAGGACAGGATGGCCATGTAGCCGGAGAAGCTGCTGAAGAGGTTGAGCATCATCACGATGCCGAGAGGCATCAGGTTCTTGCGCTGCGTGAGCAGGCCGAGGGTGGCCCGCCAGCCGCCGGGCGTCTCGTCCAAGGTGGTGGTGTCTGCCAGCTCGAGATCCACGCCAAAGGCAGCCGCTGAGCGTTTGGCGTCGGCGAGCCGGCCACAGCTGAGCAGCCAGACGGGATCGTCGGGCAGCAGCAGCAGCAGACCGCCGGTGGGCACCACCGAGACGATGCCGCAGATGGCCGCCAGCCAGCGCCAGTTCAGCACCTCGCCCAGTGCCACGCCGAAGATGATGGCCAAGATGCAGGCGATGTCTGCCATGATGGTGAGCGCCCCGCGGTACTGCGGAGATGACGTACCGCTGATGTAGAGCACGTACACGCCGTACGGCACGCCGCAGGTGAGACCGACAAGAAGCCGGGCGGCGAGGAGCACCGCTGAGCTGTTGGCCAGCGCCACCGCCGCCTGGCTGAGACCCAGCGGCAGCAGCGAGTATAGCATCGCCAGCCGGGGCCCGAAGCGCGCCGCCGCCCGGCCGCCCAGCAGACAGCCGAAGGCCGTGCCCAGGTACAGCACAGAGTTGAGCCAGGCGCGCTCGGCGTCACTGAGGCGCAGCTCGCCCGGCGGAGCGTCGTCTGTCTGACGGAGCTGCCAGGTGGCCGTCACACCCCAGCCAATTGCGTAACAGTTGATGGCACAGGCGTGGCTGGCCGCCACGGCCGCCGCCAGCTGCAGCGCGAACCGGCTGCGGCGCGGTGACTCGCCCTCTGACCCGCTGGTCTCACCCGCCTCCTCCGGTCGACCCATGGTGCTCCCGCTGCTGAGGTGAGGCTGTCGCTACGCTAGAGACTGGCCGAGACGGGCCCTCCTAGACGCGGCTGACACCTGCTCAGCGAACGGTGGTGGACTCACGGCTCTCGGGATCCGCAGACGAGGTTTTATTCCCCCCGGGGAGTGCGGCGGAGAATATCTCCCGGTCAATGATGACGGAGAATTCGTTAACCCGAGGAGGTGTCGTCAGGGGATGTGTGTTGCCCGGTGCACGTGCCGGTAGTCGGCGTTCGTATCCGGTTCCGTCCGGTTAGAGCCGGGTGCAGCCGCTCGGGGCTAGCCTTGTCACGTCTCGGCTAGTATTGTTTTCCGTTGTTGCCAGTCGGCGGTCGTTGTCGGCGCCATTGAATCGTGGTGACGCACACTTGACGCCACTGGTTGGGGTGATCGGGTGTGATCTGACACGCGGCGACCCATGAGCGGAGGAGCAAGGTGTGCCCAACGCCGGCCGGGATGACTTGGCGATATCTGCGCCGCGCGAGTGGTAGGTACGGGAGGAGTCTGGCTCTTTCTGCGACGGATCGGGGTGGCACAATGGCGTAGGTTTGGAATTGGGGTGGGCCAGTGAGCCATGGCTAATGCGACGTTCGAGTCCGCGATGTTGCAGATCGCCAGGTTAGGTTTCTCATTTGAGTGCTACGTCCGTTCTCACGTTGCTTCCGTGTATTTTTCCACACTCAACCGTAAAAACACTGTCTATCTTGCATTTACCTGGGGTTTACTGATCTTTCTGCTATATAAACACAACCCTTCAAAAGTCATTTTCATCCTAATATGTTTCTGACCTGACATGCCGAACGGTGATTGCTGGAAGATGTAGTTTGTTCAACACAAATTGCTTTGACCAGCGGTTTTGTGTTTGTGTGACCTCGACCAAGTCGTCGAGTAGCACGGGTTAAATAATGCTTCAAAATATTTGTTTTTGAGGAGATATTTTCACACATTCTCTCTTTCCCATGTTTCTGAATGTATTGGTTTAACACTTTCTTTTCATTTCAGCTATGAAGTTACAATATACTGTGAACTTTCGAAGTCGTTGTTGATCTGCACCTGTTTGCCTGAAGTCTGTGAATCAAGCCTCTTTTCTACACTGTAACTGAAAACAGCACTTAACTACCGCTCACCTATTTGTGCTGAAGACATAAGAGTGCGGGAGGCACTAACTAGAACCGTTTCGGTGCCGCTTTCAGAATCATAGCGCAGTAATTGATTGTCTGATTTCAGCAAGATCTCCTAGTGACAGTTACAGCTGGAGGTAACAGTATACTGTCATCATGCCTGGACTGCAAGCCTTTGGTAGGCTGTGGATAGTGGCCTCTGATGACTTTGTCTTTCCTGCCGCCCTCGAGCTGGTCATCAACTATTCCTGGTGAGTGATCGAGAAGAGGAATCTGGCGACTCAACGACAGTATCGCTGATTTATCTTAGATAGAGCCTTCAGGGGTGGGGTATTTATGACTTGTGTCATTGTGTGTTGACTTTAACCTCCTTCTATATCCCGCCCTTGTCAATCCGAGTATCTCGCTGTTACCTCCTGCTTCTTTCTATAACCCTGATCATTGCTGCGGAGTCGAATGAATTTCCGGTAACTCTGACTCCAACCGTGTCCGACTCCGTAGCCCTGGCAGGTTTGCGGAGTCGATGAATTTTCGGTTACTCCGACTCCGGCTCCGGCGTCCAAAAATCTATTCCAACTCCGACTCCGGAATAACTGTCGACTCCTACCGACTCCGACTCAACCCCGACTCTGCACTCCCTAACTCTGACTTCCGCTCCCGCTGCAGGCTTCTGGCGGTGACAACCATCTACCTGACGCATGACCCGGGCGGCACGTGCGCCCAGCGGGGCACCCTGGCCACCTACATATTGGGCTGCGGCTTCCAGCTGCTGGTCTCTGTTCCGCTACTGGTGTCTCTGATCGTCTGCAGCGGACGTGGTGCGGTGATGGAGACGGCGGCGCGCCGAGCCGTGCCCTCACTGCTGTACTGCAGGTCAGTGAGGGATGAAAGGAGGGAGGGGAGGGAGTCCCTGCACCTCGCTTGTCGATGGGGATGGGTCTGCGCTGTACTGCAGGTATGGATTACTCAGTGATATATGCAAACATTTTGCTTCGATATTTTTTCTAAGAAGGGTATGTTGGATGGAAAGGGCGGTACCTTGCCCCGAACTTCTTGATGGGTCTTGCGGCTAATGAAAGGTGACTCTTGCTTACCGTCTACCTGCCCTGCACCATTACAATTAGAGACGCCGGGCGGCCGCTGTCCTAATGTGTGTGATGTCGACTGTGACTGCCGAGTGCCCACCGCTGTTACTGCGCTGAACCTTTTGTGACCGTGTTTTCTCTCTGTGTTCCCCCCAGATTGGCGCTGTTCCTGTTCTCTGTCGGCTGGGACGTGGCGGGCTCCGTCTGGCTGAGCTCGGATATTCGGCACTGTGTGGTCACCTCTCCGACCGTGCAGGTCATCATAGGTCAGTGAAAGGTCAGGGGAAGGTCAGCAATGATCCTACAGGTCATAAGTCAGCGAAAGGTCAGATAAAGGTCAGCAACGACCTTACAGATCATAGGTCAGTGAAAGGTCAGAGAAAGGACAGCAATGATCCCAAACGTCATCAAAGGTCACTCAAAGGTCAGGGACAGTTCAGCAATGATCCTTAAGGTCATCATAGGTCAGCAGCGATCGTACGGATCATCATACGTCAGTCAAAGGTCAGAGAAAGGTGGACAAAGGCCAACTACCGTGCAGGCCATCATGGTAAAGCAAATGGAGGGGAATCAGACCCAGACCTTTAATTCTGTGAGCTCTGTCTGTCTCCCTCCTACCCTCTTATGACCTCGTGACCAATGGCCTAACACTGCAATGACCTGACCTGCCCCCGCCCCCTCCCGCAGCTCTGGTCATCTGTAACTGGCTACGCTCTGTCGTCATCCTGATCGGCCTGGCAGTGGTGTTTGACCCGCTTGGCTCCGTCAGTCTCAGTGGAGCAGGCTACAGCAGCGCACGACGCAAAAAGAGGTGAGACACCCCCGGATGGGGCGCTGGGGAGGGGGGGGGACGTACTCGTTGAACGACGGTGTTGAGAGGCTAGGTAGGGAGCGGGTTGGGATGGGAAGGGATGAAGATGGCTAAAGCAACGCTAAAATAGAAAATTCAGCTCAAACACACCTGCAAAGGGCGCATTTACCGTGAGACAAGTTAGGTTATGGAAGATATGAGCTATTAATAACATTAACGTGAGCAGAAAGAGCTCAGACGTGCTTAGACGTTTACCGTAACAATAAAAAACGATGTGCATCTAACCTTATCGCCCACTGCTTTAGATATGGTCCTTTGATAACGTATCTGCTTGTAACGTTTCTTCCCTCTAAATAATGCGGTGAGGATGCGTTGATAATGATAGGCAGCCTGCGGACTCATTTCATTCGGCTCCAATATTCCCTCAAGCGTGTCCCCTAGAACCCACAATGCGTGTGCGCATCTTAGATTCTATGCTAACCCACAAGCAAAAGTTCAGACAGCTGGCCCGTCATCATTGTTGAGGCCAGGTGTGTCCGGGACTAAGTCAGAGCGTTGTCTTCCTCACCACAAGGACTGTGAGGGTCGCGCAGTGCTGCTCCTGTCTTATCACGCAAGGCCGTATAGAAAGGCGATGGCACGGCGGGGCAGCGGTTAATTCATTCCCGCTCTCTCTTTTCTTTTATTATGTTTCTTCATCTGCATCTCCTCATTCCCCCCTCTCTCTCTCTCTCTCCCTCTCTCTCCCTCTCTCTCTCTCCCTCTCCCTCTCCTCTCCCTTTCTTGCTCTATCTTTCTCCCCTTCCTTTCCTCCCTTTTTCGCATCGACCACCGACTACAGACTGACAAACACGGGACAGCATTGATAAACGAGGCTGAGTCGTGTGCTGAATTTGGAACAATCCGAACTTTGAACGGGCCATTGTGCTTTGTGAGCTTGTTCAGCTGTGGAACTCCCTGACAAAGGTGCGGTCAAACTCAGTTTAACTCATTTTTAGGCTCGGTAGTTCCATGGAATTCCATCTTATGGTACAGATTTAACATGGCTTACATGAAATTCCCCTTCATGCGTTTTGTCGAACAATGTGCAAGAGCTTATTGTATCCGTGTTAGGCTCAGTTAGCATTGCTAACATAGCGGAGTCTGTAGGCAAGGAATTCCAGTGGCTGATATGACACATAGTTGAGTGATATTTTCCTCAGTTATGACAGTGCATAGAGTTTCAGTGCGCGATCTGAAGTGATTGTTCATGCAGGCCGATGATTGATCTTCCTTTGTTGGAACTAAACTGGAGCGATTTTCCTCTGGCAGCATCAGTGTGTGCGATCTTCCCGTCCCGTGTTCCGCGTTCATTTCGCTAGCAGCTTTCCCCAGCACGCACTTTGCGCTAGGATCTGCCCAGGGATCTGCCTCGAACTGTGTTTTATGCGACATTGAAATTTAATACCAGCACGGTTAGAGCTTTCCTCACGTCACTGGATGAAAATATTTATTACTTTTCGTTTGCTGAATGCTCGGGGGTTCCTATCGCGATGACGTGTCGTCAATAATTAGATGTAAGATATCGTGTATTGCTACCACCGTTAGGTATTTCTACCGTTTATGTCATTGGTGATAAGAATCTTATTTTCCTCTTCGCCCGCCAGACGTGTTTGAGGCCTAATGTAATTGGGGCGTTTCACATTGAAGATCTTTCCCATCGATAGTGCATTACTGCTCCCAATAATCCAGCTTTGTAATGGCTTCTGCTGTCTTTTAGATGTGCTAGCTCTGCGACTCATCGTAACCTGTCACTAGTGTGACCCATACTTATTGCATTTGGGCCCATGCCTTCTCATTTACCTTGTTGTAATCTGTCATCTGGTTTTGCACCGTTTCATAGATCGTCTGAACGTTTTCTGACTCATGGCGCCCAGTCTGTTCCATTCTGAGCGATTCTAAAATGCGTAAATTGAAGTTTGAACGTTTTTGATCTATGATTTTGAAATCGTCTTATCCAGTCCAGCAGCATCGTCTGTACGGGATCATTCTTTAGCATGTGACACCCCCTTCAGTATATTCTCAGCGATGATTCTGACCCTGTCAAACCCGATTTCATCCCTATCGATTCTGACCCCGTATGTCCCCGTTTTATTCCTTTCTAACCGCATGTGACCCGTTCTGTCCACAGCCTGCTGCGCCGCAGTTTGTGGCACGCCCGGTTCCGGTTCCTCCAACCCCATCTGACACCTTCTGACCGTTCTGCCTACAGTCTATTGCGCCGCAGTTTGTGGCACGCCCGGTTCCGGTTCCTCTGCTGCTGTCTACACACAGACGAGACGTCGGAGGCGCTCAGAGACGTGGCAGGTATGCAGTTGACTCCCACAAGCCCACCCTACTCACATCACCCTGAAAGCAGATACCAGTGCTGCTGCTGGTGCTGCTTTCGTGCTACAATGTTGCCCATACCTATTTGACCTAACCCTCGGCAGACTACATCGTAACGGTGTATGGAAAGGTCAATAGATTGTGTCGCCTTACCTTGATCTGACCCGACCCGCTTCTTCAGGTCACATCGCCACCCTGGTCGGCGAGGTGGACCTGGTACCGTCAGACGTTGTCGCCGGGCTGATCCTGCTGCAGCAGAAGCACGCCAACCAGCCGGAGGGGCCGCCCGAGCCGCCGGCGCACCTGCAGCATAGACCGGCGACACACGGTATGGGAGGGGGAGGGAGGAGACGACGATTGGAGGATACTGCAGATGATTAGAGTGTTATGCTAGTGCTTTTCACATAGTTTTGCTTCCATAACACTATATTAGAATTTAGAATGCTGCGCTTTTTTAAAGAAATGGTTTGCTTCCTTCCGGCTGTGTCCGCTCACGCCTCACAGTGGTTGAAAAGCAGACTTTTAGCTATGATTACCATCCATCCATGATTGGTCACCAAGCTCCCCTTTCTTTCGATACTCACCTCCCCCCTCCCCCCTTCCGTCCGCAGCGCGCTCGGACTGGATGACGGTGCCGCGGGCGGCCCACTTTATGCGGTACGCGCTGGGCGTGTACGGCTGGCCGTGGTTCGTGCACGGACGCCTGACGTCCTCTCTGCGACTACTGTGGCGGCGCATCATCTGCTGCGCCCACTACAGGTCAGACAGGGTCGAATGGGTCTTGAAGGGTCATACATGGGGCACGGTAAGATCAGAGATCACGGTAAGATCAGAGATCACGGTAAGATCAGAGATCACGGTAAGATCAGATATCACGGTAAGATCAGATATCACGGTAAGATCAGATATCACGGTAAGATCAGAGATCACGGCAGGGTCAGAATGTCCAGGTAACGGCAGGAATAGAGGGGTCAGACACGAGTGACGGTAGTGTTGGAGACGGTCAGAGGGTCAGACATGGATGGCGGCTGAGTCAGATTCGGGTTACTTGACCTGGTTTGGTGTGACTTCTTCAATGGCACCGACTTTACGCTGACTACTGACAGGGGGAAGCCGTCGCTGGCTCTGGGGGACAACTGCTGTCTCTGTAACACCGCCGCGCTGCAAGAGTGCACTGCCCTGGAGGACGGCGACTTTCTCTACGTCTCCTTCGTCAACCGGCTCTACCAGGTAAGGGAGGGGTCGGTGGGAACTTTAAATCAGCTGTGTGTACTGTGTACTCCTTGGAAACGTCTACTTGGCGATAGTCCTGTGCAGCTAACAGAGGCCAAGAGAACAAAATCTGATTTAAGCTCTATAGTCCAGCAAAGGGAAGGTGTCTTGTTAAATTGGGATTGTTAAGGACAACGTTTATTGGTGTACATCCGAGCGAAAGGGCACTGTGTCTATGATCACTGCATTGATGTTTGCACCGTTCCTATTATGCATTGTTTGTCATATTAAGATCGCCACGGCCAGTTTCATAGAAGATTAATCGTAATTTGCACCGTTTTATGAAATCAGCGCCAGGATAACACACATTGAGACCGTGCTCTGTCTTTATTGCACCAGGTGGCGTTTCTAGTGGCGGTGGATCACGCCGCTGAGAGTATCGTGGTCGCTGTCCGAGGTACCCTCTCTGTCATAGACGCCCTGACAGACCTCTGTCTGGACTCGGCTGTCGTGGAGGAGACTGGGCGGCCGCAGGACAGGGTAAGTAGGTACAGCCTCTGTCTGAGGGCGAGAAAGATAAGATTGGTTGCAAAATATAAGCTACATTGCTGCCACTGCCAGTGTGATGCGGCTTAGTTTCCACTGCTAAGTTACAGATGATTGTGTCGTGTTTGGTTATCAGTTATCAGATTGTCAGGATTCACAAAAACCTCCATTTCGCGTGAGCAATAATTTCACAGCTGTGACTCGTGATCTATCGGCTGTGTGTCCTAGCCTGGCCTGGAACTTTGGCCCGTAACCCCGACCCGTATCCTTAACGCTGATCCTTGGACCGTAACATTGGCTCGTAACCCTGACTCAAAACCCTCATTATTAACCCTGATCCGTAACCCTGATCCATAACCCTGACTTGTGCATTAAACTCGAATGTCTGACCGGCATGTCTAACACGTAGCCCTGGCATTTACTGTTGATCCTCCGCTTTCCGTCAGGCCCACAAAGGGATGCTGCAGGCGGCTCGCTACATCGAGACCACGCTGCGAGAGACGGAGGCGCTGGACAGGGCGGTCACCATGCACCCCGACTACACGGTGGTGGTCACCGGTAAGTTGAGGGGTTATGTTATCATCCCTTCTCAGTTCTCAGTAGATTTTTTTTAAAAATAAATTTAGTCCGAACCTTTTGATGGGAAGGATTCACAAGGACAGAGCCACCGCTAAGCAAAGCTTGTTGCGGTGACCCTGCCCTCTACCCTCCGATCGCGCAATTCCAGTTCTATGGCAGAATGTAGAGTAGAGTCCAAAGTTTAACGTACGCACAAAGCCGCGCACGGCCGGTCCCCTCACTGACTTCGCCTGGCTACGGCCTGCCACCAACCGCAACCATACCTGTCAGGAGGCCCATAATTGTCAAGCGCCCGTCGCGCTTCGAACCCGGGCTTTTGTAACCGGGAACGTGTGCTCCCACCACGCAGAGTCCAACGCTCTACCAACGGGACGGGACCTACGGGACCTTAATACCCCGACTTGACCACGTTTGTGTTGACATTTATGAGTGTGTCGTCAGGACAGCATTCCCGAGTTCCCCAGATTTTCCTAAATGTTCTGCATCACATCTCTACCGTGCGCTGTCTGTAAGCCCTCTGATTGTGTTCCACAGGCCACAGTTTGGGCGCTGGCGCGGCGGCCCTACTAGCACGGATGCTCCTGCCCACCCACCCGCGACTCCAGTGTTTCGCCTTCTCGCCGCCAGGTGAGACGGCGGCGCCACCAGCGCACCGACAAGAAAATGGGGTCTGTGTGGCCTCTCTTGGTTGAAAATTTTGATGGGATGGCTCAAGTGATGGCTGCTCAACTGCATATCCATTCACAAGTTATGCTACATATTGCGGTTACTATTATTTGACATATATCAAATATCGGCCGATTTTGAAATGCTGCAGGCAGTCGGACGTCAATGACAAACATCCCCTGGACCAGTGACGTCTTACGCTAGCTCCGTGTTTGCTCTTCTGGGAATGTGGAAATATTTTGTTCATTATGTCCACTCCACGTTTGGACTGACTCCCTCTCCAACCCTAACCGTCCCTCTGCTTCGTTCCGCGCTCCGCAGGCGGCCTGGTGAGCCGTCCACTGAGCGAGGACATGCAGGCCTACGTCATGTCCGTGGTGTGTGGGGACGACCTGGTACCCCGGCTCTCCGTGGCCGCCGTGGAGAAGCTCAAGAATGAGCTGGAGGATGCGTTGAACGCCTGCACGCTCAGCAAGGTCGGTGACACACGTAAAGTAATCTCGGGTGACCACGGCTAGGAGTGGGCCGATGAGGTTGACTTGGTTAACTGGACTTGGACTATAGTAGCAGCTGTTGATGGGGTTAGGCAGGTACTTTAGGATAGGTGTAAGGTGACAACTGACAGTTTAGAATATATGTCGGAAAATTTACAATACTTTTGTTGTCGCCAGCACACGCTATTGTACCGGGCATGTTGTAACTGTGTGTATGTCTGCTTGTCTTGCAGTATGTTTGTAACCTGTGTGTATATCTGTGTTTCCTCCCAGCACTCGCTGTTATACCGAGCGTGCTGTAACTGCGCGTGCGGCGCCTCGCACGACCTGGTCACCCCGGAGGACGGCAGAGACTCGGAGACTGACGTGCACCGGCCGCTGGTGGACTCTGTGGACCGCAGCAACTACGTGAGTGGTGGGGTGATGGGCTGGTCTGTTGCTTATTATCATTGTTATTGTTGGTTTGTTGTTGTTTTTTTTTGGGGGGGGGGGGCTGCTGAGGAATAGCGGTATTCTTATTGGTTTTACGTAATAAGACTATGCTTTTCATAAGCGTAAAAAATTTTAAGCAATTTATTGGCATTGATTTTCTTTCTCTTGCAGCTACAATGAATGAATGTCGAGTTATTATCATAAATGGAGATTATATTTAGTCCTTTTTTATCAGCATCTGGTTTGCCGTTGGGTGTTTTTGTTTATGCCCTCTCGCTTTGTATCCGTACCCCTGCCGCACGTTGTAATCGTTCTACCACCGGTTCCTCTCTCCGCCGCCAGGAGTCGCTGGTGGACGTGGCCGAGCGAGCCATGCTGGCGGACGCACGTGCCGAACACGTGCCGCTGTACCTGCCCGGCCACGTGCTGCACGTGACGACGGCCACGGAGGCACACGGACGGTGGGTAGAGGCGGGTGGCGGGGAGGACGTGGAGGCGTGAGCGACAGTGACATTCTCGGACCAAAGAGCTGTCATTTCTTTGTGCTCTGATTTTTTAATGAAGTGTTTTTTATTCTTTCTCCAAACGCTTAGTGTTTATGTTTATGTCTTGGTAGTTAGTCGTTGCCATTGTTAAGCTGTTTTTGCAAAAGATGGATAAACATTCGCGAGATGGACGTATTTCCTGTTTGTTTTGTTGGGTTAGGCCCTTTCGGTCCAATAAGACCATTTCAGAGCCGGGAGGATGATAGGATATAGGGGGAGACATTGGTCTGGGCAGGCACCCTAGTGAGTCGCCGGGGCTGAGCCCATGGGCGCCGCCACCGGGGGGGACGGGGGGGACGCGTCCCCCCCACTCTCAGAATGGAAGGGGGACGTCCCCCCCCAAACTCATTACGGAGCGAGCGAAGCGAGCGTAGTCTTTCGTATGTTAACGGAAATTTCTGAGTATGCCGTGGTCACGCTTTTGCTAGGCGTGACCGGTCAAGTGATCTCAGCATTCACTCACTTGACCGATTTACATGCGGTAATTTTTTGTAGGGTAGCACTAGATTCATTCCTTCTAACGAGCATCGGACTATTCCCGATGCATGTGAGTGACCCCATATGCACGTGCCACGTGAAAAACGAAGAGGTGTCAGTTTTGTAACAATTTCAATATCTCGGCAACTACTGGGCCGATTGCGCTGAAAGTTGGCATGTAGGTAGGTATACCCACTAGGCAATGCATATCCATCGTTAGGGACCGGTTAGAAGGGTGCAGTGCACAAGTTAGTTGTATGTATCCCCTCGCAATTTCGCACGTGCAAGGCCCACCCCACCCTCTCGCTCGCTCCGTTGGTCGCCCCAAAAGGCGTTTTACTGGTTGTTTTCCTACTCGAAATTTGATTATGCCCTTCGGTCCAATGAGACCATTTCAGAGCCGCAAGTATGAAAGAATTAGTGGGAGACATTGGTCGGGGCAGCCACCCCAGTGAGCCACTTAGGATGAACCCCACCAATTGAACAGGCAGCCCAGCCCACTGGCACTCACTGCACCCGGCAAAGGACTATATGTAGCTCCAGTGGAGCCATTTCCGCATGGGATAGAGTTGCCCGTCCAGCCCGGAGCAGGGGGTTGCGGCGTGGAGGAGAAGGGTTTGACTGTCCTGAGGATGGAAGAGATGGAACGGCCGGTGCCGAATCTGAGAGGATCCAGGAGGTTTAGATACTCAGTATATGGGGTGTGGGCCTACATGCATTGGTCTGACCCCTGCCACCTCGGCCAACAAAATCTCCAGCTCTTATCCGACCTGTCATCGCGGAACTGCCGATTTTTGATATCGTGATTAACGTGTGTCGTATAACACGACTGGCCGAACACGGGCCTACATAATATATTTCGTCTAACCAGCCAAGAACATGACTTAACACCAATCCGACCTCGAAGTCAAAATCCGAACATTTTCGAAGACCTCAACTCCGACTCTGGCCAAAACTGGCCAAAACAATCAACTCCGACTGATTCCGGCTCCGACCCCACACTTCTGCAGTCACGCTACACTAAATTTCCAGCTTCTAAGAAATAAGCTATACGGTTGACAGGACCACAAAACTTTGAGGCGACTTGACTACTTGAGTTAGTTTTCCTGACCTAAGGTTTTCTAGTATCAAGCTTGTTACACGGGCTGCAAAATTCGTATTTTGGAGCAGTTTGCCTAATGTTTTTTTTTTGCCAATTTTCGCGGCGCTTCGCGCCGATTCGTGCACAAACCAAAAAGAGAGATTTGTGACTATACAACGCCCCCTCCCCCACGCGGGTATGCAACATGCATTACCTACCTATGCAATATGCATTATCGATCATATTAGTGGCATACATCAGCAATTATACCGTGATAGAACACGAGGCTTTGCCGTGTCAAACTGAATCGGACACCAGATGTGTATATAGGTAGGTACTCTGTGGGAATGCGGTCTATAGCCATTACTTTAAGGAAATACCTAATGCCTAAACTACTTTCCTCAAACCAGTTGTTTTGGCACAGTTTTATGAGTTTTTAAACTTAAAATGGTCAGGAAATAATGAATATTTTCAAAAGGTTTTTACATTTATTTTTACATCACTTTTTTCCATCTTTCGTAGAGGCTACAGGGGTGTCGATTTTTCAAAATGGTTGGGGGTGCTCAACCCCTGCACCGGGTGAAAGATTGTAGCTTTGCCATTGTAAGGTACTGATAATCCCGGGATTTCCACTAATATTTCCCAAAGGTTGAACGTTCTTCAAAATCATTCTGCTCGTCCTAGTACTTGGCTACCTCATTACATAAACATCTTTCCGAAAAAAACGCGTACATTTGCCGGCAGCTCGGCAGCAGCCCCGGCACCTCTGTAATAAGGTGACAGAAACCGATGACCGCGATTAGCACCGGTGCAGCAGCCCCTGCGGTCGGCAGGGGCGGACATTGCGCGGGAGGCAACGGTATAGCTACGAGGCTCTGGCGTTTATCAGACGATCACAATAATCGCTGAAAAAATAACAGGTGATTGCATTTCGATATTTATGGGTTTACGATTTTCCTCAGTGGCGTAGCCAGGTGGGCCCGTGAGCCCCCCCCCCCCGCCCCATCAGGTTCAGGGGCCCATCGGATTATTCGGGCCTGAGGGGCACTGCGGCGCCAATTGGCCACTGAGGGTCCACGTTGGCTATATTTGGACTCAGAAGGGCCCCACAGGGCTCGTAAGAACACCTCATGGGCCCACAAGTACTAACATTAAGATCTCCATAAGGGCCCCAAGCCAGCCTCTGAGGGCCACTTGCCGGCCTCTGGGGGTCTTAACCGGCCTCTAGGGGGCCAGCTCTAGGAGCTGCACACCCGCCTGTAATGGCCCCACACCCATTTCTCTGAGGGCCCCTATAACGGCGACTGTGAGGGCCCTCACCGGCGCCCCTGAGCGCCACACCGGCGTCTCTGAGGGCCCCACACCCCTAACTCTGAGGCCCTATACCAATGTCTTTAAAAACCCTACATGGGCGGTTCTGAGGGCCCTTGACAGTTACCAGCGACCCTGACGGCCCCACACAGGTGACACGGAGGGTCCCAGCGGCGTCTGAGCGCACCATGCCAGTCTCTGAGAACCCCACAAGGCTCCTGAAGGCACCGGTGACCTCTTGATATCTTCTTGTCGGCCTATGAAGGATCCGTTCCGTAACAGCAGTTCTGAGGGCCCAACGCGCGCCTGTGATGGCCCTAAACCAGTGTCTCTGAGAGCCCCCACACCGGCGCCTCCAGTCCGAGGGCCCCACATTGCCATATCTGAGGGCCCCACACTAGTGCCTCTAAAGGCCCTATATCGGCGGCTCTGAGGGCCCAACATCGTAGCTTCTGAAGGCCCCACAAGTGCGCATGTGACGGCCACCCTGCCACCGGTGACATTTGAAGGCCCCACACCGGCGACTCTGAGGGCCCCATCAGCGCCTGAGCCCGTTCCGGTCTCTAAAGATGACCCCACAGGGTTTCTGAAGGTACCACCGGCCTCTGATGACCCTTTGCCGGCCTCTGAGGGCCCGTCGCCGGTCTCTGGAGCCCCCTGCCGGCTTGTAAAGGGTACGCGCCAGCAGCTCTAAGGGTCCGACACCCGTGTACGACGGACCCACACCATCTTTGCAACTTAACGTCTTTTTTTCGCCCTTCTTCTTAACTAACTTTTCTTTTCTTTACATCTTTATTTCATGCCTTGTAAATTGCGTAATTGTTTTATTTTTAGTAGTGAACTACTGCAGAACAATTATTTTCCTCAAGCAGAGTTAGTGGGAGTTATTGAGGGACAAAACCATTGGGGGTGCCCGGAAAACCATTGGGGGTGCTCATTTGAGCATTGGGGGTGCTGCAGCACCCCCAAAGGTATACAAATCGACACCCATGGGCCTACTTACCTATAGGTATTGCAGCGGAAGCTGATTACGCGTTGACCAAGCATAGTACGTAGTTCAAACCAGCTGAATGCTGATTGGCTAGCATTTTTCCGTAAGGGAATGGATTCCTCGGTAAGAGAATGACAAAGTGTAATCTATGGGAATGACTTCAGTCTTCAAACCTAAAATCGATACCGATATATTTGGCTAGGGTGATCGTTGGGCCATAAAAGCTCCTGATTTGTTCTCGTCTCACCTCAAGCTACAACACTGTTAGGTACTTCAGTTCAAAACCCTATGTTAAAACTTAAAAGTGGCTTTAAACGTTGAATGCATCCGAAAAGCCACGGTAAGAATGTCTACTTTTGGGTTTTCAGTCGGTCAGTCCGTCCCCCCCAGTCAAAAATCCGTGGCGGCGCCCCTGGGCCTGAGCCCGTCCAGAGGACAGGCCACCCAGCCCCAAGGCACTCACTGCACCCGGCTACGGGGTGCGCTCCCTCGGGAGCAGCGGTGCCGCTCCAAGGGAGCAGCCCGCACACTGGCGGTCCCAGGGGGGGGCCACGGGGGCCATGGCCCCCCCTTTGGTGCTGAAAGGTGGGGCCATACTATCTTTTGGCCCCACCTTTCAGATCGAACAAAAGTCCTAGAAAAGCTTTTTGTATGTTTCATTTTCTTTCTTGCGCCATCAAAGGACGTAAATTTCACTCATGAGGGCTCAGTTTCGCATTCTGTCAATTTGGTGGTCAGCGTCGCTGGCACCGGCTCACGAGTATGGCCGGATCTTATATGGAATATCAGCGTGGGTTTACTTGAGGCTCTCGTAGGCCCAGCAATGGCTGGCATGAGACCCTCTTCGGCAGTGGTGGGTGGGCCCTGCTAAAGGAGATTGGCTCTAAGACACTAAAGTAAGACCTCATGGGTTGGTGCTGTGCACCTCAGAAGCCCGGTGGTGACGCCGTATGCCGGATTGGTTTCTTAAGGATTAGCGTGGGAACTCCGGGGCCTGCATAGAGTTTGCATGAGCTAGTATGTAATCTCAGAGGCATGTTTGTAATGTGTACACAGTGGCGGTCGCGGGGAGGGGGGCATCAGGGCCATGCCCCCCCCCCCAAGGTCAATAAAGGGGGCCATCATATCATTTGCCCCCCCCCCTCAAACAACCAATGGGCCCCCATATAGGTGTATGGGGCCCTGGCAATTATTCGATCGTCACGAAGCTCAAAAAAACCCACGCCCAGCTATTAATATAGCTCCCACACCGGTCTTTGAGCGTCCTACACTGACCTCTGAGGGAACTTCAGTGCGTGAGGCGGCACGGGCGGACATCGATAGCAGCGCCTCTATCGGTCACTAGGGAAAGCTGGGCTGTAGGCGACGAAATACCGGCTGAGTTGTCACACGTTGAATAGGTTTATAGCCATCAGTCTTGTGAAAAGGTTGAAATTTTGCCTTTAATATTTCTACAGGCAATTTTAGAAGTGTCTTCACATGGATTACAAAACCGTTTAGATTATTGTATTCACTTCAAGCCTTCCCTATTGTTCTTGATGATGCGGGAACTATTTCTAATTAGTGTTTCTAGCTTAGTAAAAGAACATACTGTGCAAACGATGAAAAAAGCATGAATGGAAGATTTTAAATGCAATTTTCTCTAACAATTAATGGTAAATTCTCTACATATCAAGGAAAAGGTGCATGCTAAATGATAATTTAAAGTTCTTGGGGCTAGTTGTTTTCTTCTTTTCTTACGTCGCCCCAATGGCCGCGAATACACTTGTGATAACGCCTATCGGGCGGTCAAGTGCCCACGTTGACCGCTAAGAGCCTACATCAACCTCTGAGACCCCACATCTGGCCTATGAGGGCCCCTAACAGGCTTCAGGGGTCCCAACCGGCGTCTGAGGGTCTCACACCGGTCTCTGGTGGCCTTATTTCTGTCTGGTGTCCCAAGACGAACCTTAAGGTGCCAATGAGGGCCCCGCACTGGCTGCTGAAGACCCGATGCCGGCCTCTAAGGGCCTGCATTGGCATTTGAGGAGGGCCCATCTTGGCCTTTGAGGGCCCTCTGCTGGCCTCTGGGGTCCAACGACGGCTCATGCCGGTCTTTTAGGGCCCCACGCTAACCTCTGAGGGCCCATGTTGGCCTGTAATAACCCACATTAGCCTCTGAGAGCCCAACTCGGTCACCGATTGTCTCAAACTACTGGCCTTTGTAGTTTGCAGGCCCTGTACTGGTCTCTGAGGGCCCTAAACTGGCCTCTACGTGAAAACATATATGGGTGGGTTTCTGAAGATCAGAGGGCTCACGCAGTCTCCGGCACAGCCTTACGTTGGTCCTGATCGAGATTACTTTGCGTCCTGATGGTCCGGCGCAGATTCCCTCATATTTCGACGTCGGGACCCCATGAGCCGGTGTGGGTCCTGGGGCTGGCAGAGACTGATGAAGTCCTTAGGGCTCAGGGCCAGTCTTTTTAGCAGTAAGACTAGGCAGGTTGAGTGAGCCCCAATAGAGCCGCAGCGAAGCCCCGCAGGAGTCGCGCGCGGCCCTCAGATGCCAATTTTGAAAGCTCGGAACCTGTGGGGGGTCTCCAGAGGTCGGTCGGTGTACCTACTCTCTCCCGCCGCCACACAACTAGGTATGTTACCTATATGAGTAAATGTCATAGTCTGAAAATGCTCTCTGGGTTTCACATGCTTGTTCAAAGCAAGAGGTATCTGTACTTTTCCGAATTGTTTTATAGTGGTAAGGTCATGAATCCGCGTGCCTGACCTTCCAGTATACCTATATGCTACACCGATCCGTCGTCATGGTGCAGTGGGCCGACCGGTGGAAGCACCGTGGGACGGGAAATGGAACTGGTGATTTTGCCTTAAATTGAGCTTAAAAATTTCACGCAAGAATCAGATGGATGAAGCATAAGTAATGCCAACTGCGCGGCACCTCGTGGACGTAAAAAATTAGCCGATCACCCCCCCCCCCTCCCGGTGACGGATAAATGTTATGTCCCGCGAGTGTGACTTTGGCCCCCCCTTTTGCTAGCGGCTGCGACCGCCAGTGAGCCCGCATGAGATAAAGTTGCCTGTCCAGCCCGGAGGGGGGTTGCGGCGTGGAGGAGAAGGATTTCAGTATCCTGAGGATAGAAGCACGGAACGGTGTGAACGTATTTCCCCTTGTCCTACTCATTTATATTGTGTGACAAGGAGGCAGGAGCTGCCTCTACTTTGCAGCTGTCAAGTGTCGAATAACATCTGTTTGTGTTTTCTCTCCAGAGATGGCGCTGCCGGTGCGCCGCACTCAGAGTGGCGCACTCCGGAGTACTTTTGTAACATCCGAGTGACGGGCAACATGTTCTCGGACCACCTGCCCGACCTGGTCAACGAGTCGCTGAGGCGGCTAGCAGCCGAGCACCCCTGCTGACATCTACCGGTCGGGTGGCGAAGTACGATACTGCGGCGACAGAGAGCTCATAGCGCATGGGTTGTGACGGCAGGCGCCAGCGGTCTCTGTTTGCGATGGGGAAAGTCGTGAACACCATCGTCCCATATGTGATATTGCTAGTTCATATTTATCGTATTTAGATTTAGAGAGACTTTGCTGCTTATGAAGCCCCAAGACAGGGTCGTGTGCTTGTATCTATCTAAGGAAACCGACGCTCGGTGACTTAACAAGGCAGGGATGGAAGAACCAGTCTATGCTGGGAGAAGGGCGCATGTAATGGGCATTAACTTGATGGGGTTTGATAAAGAGGGCTGAGATACTAACATGAAGAAACCCCGAAGAAAAGAATTAGGGGACAGGGCTTAGTGACCAAGCATCCATCATAGCACCTTTCCTAGTTTGAGTTCCGTATCCAGTTTCATCCTTTCAGTTTCGGTAGAACATCACAGCAGCTATAACCAGGGGCGTGGCAGTGCCAGGGCCTGGAGGCTGATGCTGATCACTGATCAGTGGTTTTACTTAAAAATCAGGTTTTGTTCTTGCCAGTCATTAGCACTGTCAACTGTGGCCAAATCATTGAAAAGGAACGACGTGCAGCGATGTCATTGGTTGGTCAAACAGTGAGCTCGGTTTCGCCGTGCCGATGGTACTTTTTATTATGTGTGTCTTACGCGTATCTGCCTTCGCCATTCCGAATGTTCACGCCCTTTCCGCATCCATACATTTTCGATCTGTCCAAATATCACAGTTATCCTTAGACACACACGGCCCATACTGCCCGTCTTATGTACTTAAGCTTGCTGAAATGCTGATGCTATTTTTTAACCTCTGAGGCTTCTGCGGCTGAATTTAAAAGTCACAGTGTAGTAGGGAAAGAGGTGGAAGCGTTTGAACACTGATGTAGGTGCCACACTGACATGGGCTCACCGCACCGTCACACACTGAAAGAGAATGATTGAAGTGTCTTTGTCCAGTGTCTGCCCAAGTGCACTTTGTTCGTGATATCTCACTTGAAAATGGGCGTTGAGTTTGTTTTGGACTTTTGTTCTAATTGCCGGTGCCGTTAAATGTTCGTAGTGTCCCGCTCCCGTTGTATTCGAACCTTTTCTTTCGCTGAATTCTTGAGACACTGTTGTCTCCTTTGGCCTTATGCTCTTCTCATGATATGGCGCTACAAGTATTTAGGTGTGCTGCTTCTGCCAGTGTGATATTATGCTAACGCTTATGTTTATTCAAACTATCAGCCACGCACTAGTATATATTGTGCGTGGCCATTGCACTTCTCATGTATTGTCTATCGCACCGGATATGACTTACTTTTCCAGTCCATGTTGCCTTTACTAACACAACTTCCTTTCCCAGCCCACAACCCTGCATCCATTGGCCGATCGCCCTATCCGGACCTGTGGACAGTATCGGACAGGAGTCAACAATTTCCACGCGAATATATGCTGCGAAGATTTTAATTTCAGGTATGCACGCTTTTGTTTTATAATTTATTTGGCCCTTCATAATGTCTTCGTCCTGCGGCCGTGATAGGTATTGTTATTTCGACAAAAATCAAAGTGCAAAGATGCGCGATGCTCCACAGGTCCTATGATTGATCCGTATTCGCTCAGTTTGGCCAAAGTGGGCATGTGTTGCTACTTTACAATTTGATCAATTTTCTTCTGGCGTGTTTTGCTTAATGGGGGGGGGGGGGGGGGGAATTCGGTCGATGATGGGCCAATGTTCGATGTAGACTCGCACCTCTGCATTTCCTTTGTGATCTTTTATACATCCTTCGAGCTATTGTTCTGATTTGTTGAGATGAGAATACCTGTCACGCAGCAGGACGAAAGCTGAATTTGTCTGCTAGTCCACGGAAGGGAGTTAGTTAAATGTTGTTTTTATTCAGACTGATATCATGCGAGCACCCAGCCATGATCGCAGAAGCACTGTGCTGTAGCGTGGTATATGTGCACATTGGTGAAGATTGAGGCCATCAATAAATAGATACTTTGCTACGATGCTGTCGGTTGTGAATGTAGCGATCTCACTGGGATGAAGCGTGATTTATGGTTGTTTGTTTATCCTGCCAGCTCCTGGTGACTGGCATCTTATCCTGTCTTGTGCGAAGGCCTTCTTGTGCCAGTCACGATTTTTCTTCCGCTTCATCTTTCAGCACAGTCTATCTTACAGTATTTTTTAGCTGTTTAAACTGGTTCATAAAAATTAAAAAGATTATTTGCCCCTATAGATGGTGACCGAACTTGAATGAGAGTCCGGGATCATCTGTCCGCCCACCCCAGCTGTGCACTTCGTGATGACAAATGCCATCTTTGACCTTGTTATTTACCACCCATCAAACCCCTCCCACCCCATTCCGTGACCCCTCCCCGTCCTTCCGCGACCCTCCCGCTCTAACATCCCCCATCCTCCCTCCCTCCCCGCTCTCCCCAGCTGATAGTCAATCTGAACCACACCACGTGGCCTGCGCAGTCAGCTGGTTGTTGGCCCAGCGCCAGAACCGGCCGCTCGCTCGCCGCCGGCAGCGAAGAGGCGGTTCGCTCGGTCGGATCGGCGCAGAACGGAGTCGACTGTTGTGTGGGGAGGGCGCGGTGCGGCCAGCGGGCGAAGTGGACGCGAGGGGTGGCCTTTGCCTTTGAGTGGACAGACAGACACTCGGCGGGGGAGGATGTACACGGTGTCGAAGGGCCCCAGCAAGATCGTGGCGAGGACCAGGAGAGGTGAGTCGGGCAGTGGGGGAGGATGTTATGTAATACCCAGGGGTGGTCGTACTGACTTTGGGGAAGGGGTTCCTCGAACTTTCTTCTAGGCGTTTGGTGGTATTGGGCGAATGTTAGTTGAAATGCATTGGCTCATCAAATATAAGCTGTTTTGCTTTTACTGAAACCAGCCCATAGTGCTTAATTTATCTTATTCGCCTGCAGTGCTTACTGAATGGTCCATCCGTAGGGTGAAAACTCAATGAAACGATCCTCAGGGCCCAGACATGACCTACCTTACGTGGCCAGTCGCCTTCTCAAAACCTACCCTCATTCATTCCCCGTCCCCCGGTGAAGGTCGTGACCTCCGGCTCATCCCCAATTCTAAAGATGTACGGATAAAAGCCAATGTTCCGGCGCCCTACAAACCCAAGTCAAAGTGCACTCCACTATCTACTCCGTCATCCGTGAATGATGAGCGGCTGATGACGCTCCGTGAATGCTGGATTGGAATGGTTGAGGGGATAAGGCATAGGCGGCGGAACGGGGGGGGGGGGGAGGGGGGCACCGGGCACCGGGCACCGTGCCCCCTTCTGATTGCCATTTTAACATTAGCCCAATGGGCGTTGCATGGAATGAATGGGACCAAAAGTCGGCAGTGCCCCCCCCCCCCCTTGATTGAAGGTGTTCCGCCGCCACTGGGATGAGGTGCCGGGGGGGGATGAGGGGGGAAGGTCGTCATAACCGGACCAAACCGGTGGACGCGGCAGGCCGGATGACTGCCAACACGGAGCGACTCAGCTCCCGAGATTGCGTAATCGATAGCGTCTTCAGGCTGAGCTTTGGGGGCTCCAGTAATTGGTTCAGCATCTACTGTAGATGTTGCCATGACAACTGCGACTAAACGCCGACGATTATTTGATATGAAGCAGAGACGAAACCAAAACAGATTTGTGCGTAACATGATGTGTAATGACGTATTACACAGTTGAACATTATGGTTGACATTTTGGGTCGGGAACCAGATGCATCGTAGTCACCATAGCGACCATTATTGTTGTTCCATTTATCGAATCGTATAAACTTATGCGCGATGTTCAGAGTGCCTAGCTGTGTCGTTACCAAGGCATCACCTCAGAACACCGGCGATGAACTTTGAACACAAAATCTGGTCTCTTGTCAAATGGCCGTCACGGATGTTTCCCCACCAAGTTTCCCAGAAGCCCAGCTGGTCATGCCCATTGCCCAGTCTGTCCCCCACCCCTCAGGGGGAGGGGGTCACCCCCCCCCCATTGCGTAATCTCAGCCGACGCCGGCCAGCCCTGCCTGGCACGTCAATATACATATAAACTCAGTCTATCTGTGGCTCGCCTAGTTCCTCGGGACTTGTATCGTTATATCCTCAGGTTTTACGTGGAACGTCAATGGGCGAACTATCAAGGAGAGGGATGGAGCCTCAGAAGTTTGTTATCGATACTTTAGGAAGATCTAGGTATATGTTGCGAGATCGATCGAAAATTTTTGAAGCATTGGAACGGTGATAGCGTTGAGTTCTGAATGAAAGATTTTCTGTTCGATGGTTCGGACTGGTTAACATATGTGAAGCGATAACCTGTCTGAAATAGCTAGTTGAGCATAGTGAACAGCAAAAAATTGTTGGTTTATTGATATGTCCCTGTCAGGCATCGGTAAAATCCTTTTTGAAAGGATTGCATTCCCAATCCACATTCCTAGTGCCGAAGTGGATTGCATTCCTACCCGCAATCCCCCTTTTTCACTTGGATTGTGAGCAAATCCGCAATCCTTTTTTTGCAATCCTGTTGTATTATTATGTGCACTAGTGGAGGGGAGGGAGGGGGCATAGGGCCGTGCCTCCATCCCCAAATCACCCATTTCCAGTACCTAGTCTTGCGAGTAATTCCTATCTAAGGCACAGGTATTTTATGGGAAATATTTTTTGCCTCAAACACCCCCACATTTAAACCTCTACCCATCCAGTGTTTTATATTTTTAAAGCGTAAACCTGAAAGCGCTCCGTGTACGTCATTAAATGGCGGTCTTGTTTTCTGAAACCAGGGGCTTACCTATTCTCACCTCGACATGTTCCATACTGTGTATGGAAATATGGGCAAATAGTTAGGTACGCACCTTCTTCACTTTTCTCTATGCCCCCCCCCCCTGTCTCTCTCTCTGGATCCGCCATCTCGCCCGGCCCCGTGTTGTCATGCAAGCAGCGCAGCGCCAACTTTGCCTTGAGACTGCACTGAAAACAATTTAACCCAAGGCTGGCGAGTAAACCGGTGTTTTACGGGTACCCCTATCCGCAACCATTTTTAACCATCCTCCCAGGAGTAGTGCTAGGTCCCATTGCGGTGTAGTCGTACTTGCTCTGAGCGGATATAACCGCTGTCAGCGAACAAGTCCGCTGAGAGCAGGGACGACTGCACTGCAATGGGACCTTACTGTACTCCTGGGAGGGTGGTTAAAAATGGTTGCGGATAGGGGTACCTGCAAAACACCGGTTTACTCGCGGGCCTTGGGTTAAATTGTTTTCAGTGTGGGATAATTTGTGTCTATGGCAACCGGCAGTATTCTACAGGGTGATTTTTTATACAGGGCAAAAAGTAAAGAGCAATGGCGGTACCAGAAAACAGATCAACTGACAGCAAATGTATATCTTTGTAAAAAGCACATTCTGACATTTCATTTGCACACATAAACTTTGAGTTTGAGCTCCGTTTAGGCTTACAGAACGTGCTCGAAGTGAGCACAGTTTTAATGCACGCAAGCCTGGAGTAATTGGCGATTTTGGGGAAAACATTTTGTTGTGCGCCATTTTCACGGAACTTCACAACAGAATGAGTCCCAAGAAGTCTTTAAAAGGTCCTGAAAACAAAATGACAAACAATATCCTTTCACATGGATATACTTTTTTGGCGTTTGTTATATGTTTTGGTATCTCTAGGCTTAAAAACTTTTTGCCCTGTAAAAAAATCACCCTGAGTTAGTTCCGTCGATGCACATTGCACAACTTAGCGGCTGCACATCATTCTAGGCCTATTAAGATCGGAAAAATATCAGACATGACTAATTTTCCCAGGAAAGGATTGCAATCCGGATTGGATTGCAAAAATTGGAAGCATGATGCAATCCAATCCGCAATCAAATCCTGTTTTTTGGAATGGATTTCAAATCCAGGAGCAATCCACCAAAAAGGAATGCAATCAGGATTTTGCAATCCTGCAATCACAATCCTACCGATGCCTGGTCCCTGTCCCCCCTCACCCCTGATCTATATCCGCTGAGTCAGCAATCTGCGAGGCTCGACCACCGGAAGGAGGCTCGATCATGAGGCCATGCACTTCGATCTTTACTGAGACCATACATTAAGTCATGATGCAAACATGGCCATTTAAATATTTGTGAGTCGGCCTGGCGCTTAGGGTATGTTTACATGCACACTGACATGACAGCTCGACCAAGTCGGAATAGATTCAATGGCTGACAGGCTGTTCAGCAAAAGACATTGTTTTGGACGCTGTATGTTCAAGAATGCAGCAATTGCACGTAGGTATCTTTATTTTGAATCGCATGAGTTTCATCTTTGTGGTCGGTTGCATATTATATAACGTGATATGGCGTGCCACATTTCCGACCTAACAGGTGCAAGTCTGGCAAGTAATGGTCCTTAGAAAACATATCGGGTGGAGACTTCCATTTCGCGTCCATCTAGACGCGTCTAAGTCTTAGACGCGTCTAGCTGGACGGCGGTTGCGTCCACCTGGCGACTGCTAACTTTAGACGCGTCTAGCTTGGAAGTCTCCGTCCAACAGTTAGACGCCAAGTTAGACGCCAACTTGGACGTCTGCTCAGTTAGACGCCAGTTGGACGCCAGTGGAAGTCTCCACCCATCGCGTTTCTTCTCATATGTGCCATATAGCAAGGAGCTCGCATAGCCGCAATAATCTTCAGACAGCCTTCCCGTTTGCGATCCCCTGAATAGCTCACCCCCTCTCCCATGGACTTGGAACGTGGACGTGCATAAAGTTGCATTATATTCACATTCAGATTCGCGTGCACATTCGCGGACCCCTCAGATTTGGCTCAAAATTGCACAGCCTATAGATTTTGAGCTCCTGATTGCGAAAATCATGTTTTCATTTCACGCCGTCAAGTGGTTCTCAAAATATTCACATTTGTATTACTGCTAACATATTCTGGAACGTAACCCTTATTGGAAAAATCGGACCCCACCAAACTTCTCAAAAACTCCTGAGATGAGGTAAACATAAGCGCTGATCCCAAAAACTAATTTTTACTTAACGCCGTCCCATAGTTTTCTCAGGGTGAGCATCTAAAGTTCAAGGTCGTTCAAGGTCAAGTGCCTTTTCTCACCTTTTGGCTCTATTTGACACGTGACAGCTTTATATTTATGATGGACATTCGCACTACCTCCTACAAAAACAATATACCCAAATCCAAGGGGCGTTGCTGTACCAAAATGCAAAAAAAGCGTCAAAACCTCTTTCATTTAGCTAACAGTTAAATACAAGGGATATTCGAATTTGCCACACATAAAGCAAATTTGTCGGACGTGGTCGGACCCCTCCGATATCGTTCAAAATCTCAGGGATGATGCTCCTTGACCTTCTGAACATGAAAATGGTACTCCCTTTGAACGCCGTCAAGAACTTTTCCAGATATACGCATCCATGCACATTCAAATTGCATAGGTGCTGCATATGCACGTTCGGCGGACCCCTCCGATTTCGTTCAAAATCTCAGGAATGATGCTCCTTGACCTCCTGAACATGAAAATGGTACTCCCTTTGAACGCCGTCAAGAACTTTTCCAGATATACGCATCCATGCACATTCAAATTGCCTATGTGTTGCATATGCACGTTCGGCGGACCCCTCCGATTTCGTTCAAAATCTCAGGAATGATGCTCCTTGACCTCCTGAACATGAAAATAGTACTCCCTTTGAACGCCGTCAAGAACTTTTCCAGATATACGCATC